AGCACCCACATTTGCAGTGTCGAACCAGGCTGCATCTTGTCGCAAAACATTCTAATACGAACGCTTGATTTGTTACAATTAAACTAACCGAGAAGAAGAGATATCGTATTCGCCTGGCTTGTCTTCGAGCACTGAACTGTAGACAGAACATCTGAATGTAGGCGACTACGAACGTGACGGCGCCCAATATGGCCATTCTTTGGATGGTTACCACAAAAGCGCTGGGGGTAGGAGAAGCAAAGTCATTGACTAAATCTCCAAAGAAAATGAAAGAGACGGGCATGGAGACGCCAATCATGGCGCTGGTGACTAAACCAATGATGAACATAGCAATCTCGAAAGATGAGGCATATTTGAGCAGTTGGTAGTATCGAACACGAACGGCTGCTTCATTTCTGGACATGCAAGTTCAAAAAAAGCGAAAACTTACTCATGGAAGTCGCTATCTATGCTGTCAGGCGATAGCCCCTTGTACATTGCGAAACACCCCACTTAAATGCGTGATCAAAAAGTTTACCAGCATATACTAAACTGCGTCGTTTAAACACAGTCAACCAATTTTTCGTATGGCTAAGATTTAGTAGTTAGGTATAATAAATGCATTATAATATTGCCAAATTAAATGACAGATCCGTTATTGCTCCCATGATAGATAACGCAAATCAGAGAATTTATCCGCCTTTACTAGTTTTGGTGCAGTTTCAGTTTTTCCTAGGAATATAATATCAAAGACGGACACGTTTTTACACTTCAACAGAAATGCCGCCATTGGATTTAATTTGATTGTTTGTAGTTTGAAACGCTGTAATGTCAAGCTGCCTCGTATTCGCCACACTTTCGGAGTCGAAAATATTGTTGTTGTGAATAAAGTCTTTCTGCTGTTGCATATTCGAATTGAGTGTTTATCAGCTCAGCCTTTCAGGTGTACCATCCGTTTGACAGAAGTTTAGTATGATGAGATAAGAGCATTTTGCGGCCAAAAAGATTTAAATATTGTGCCACTTCTCTATATGTGGAACATTAATGCTGAACATGCGCCACCTTTGCTGTAGCAGTTTGAGTGATATTGTCCCTAAGACTTCTTGTGTAATATGTTGATTGTTCAACTCTCGGTTTCAGTAAGGGAGAGACTTCGGGCTCTGCCGTCAAACTTAAGAAAAGTAGCCTGCCTCTGAGTCATGCCAGTAGTCTTTAATCGTCTGCAATGTATAATCTATCCGAGTATTATGTCTTCCTTTTCTTTAGAAAAGTCTGGAGACATTACATTGGTTGAAGTAAAAAGCAAACGTGATATAAAAGGACATCTATCCTCACCTCTACTGCTGGGTGGTAAACATTGGCGGAGAGGAAGAAGTGCATATCCTACTGATAGGAGAACTGCCGGCGGTTTATAGCGGAAGGTCTGCAAGTAAAGCCCACCTTCGGCAACTATTCCAGTCCCATGTTCTGCAAAAAGGATGTATAATTTTCATTGGGGTGTTGTCTACGGTGTCTGCATGAAGATGGCAAATATGTGAAAAAGCCACATTTCTAACCCTCTACTAGCAGGATGAAACTCGGATAGTTGTGGCTGAGCAGCACTGAAGTAAGAGGAAAGTGGTGTGTAGCAGTAGGCGTGACACCCAATCCCCAAGGAATGGTAATTGATTCGGTCCTTTGTTGCGTGATTCTGCCTTCAGGCAAGCGTTTATACGATCAACTGTGGATGACCTTGAGGGCCGATGAATTTCTCCGTTCTTCCTTCTCCCACACAAGGCGAAAATTCGGACCCAGTAGAATTGCCAAGAGGGGTCAGTGACGTTACGGTCAGGTATCTACGCGGTTGCATGAGAATTCTATCACTGGCCCCTCTGGCTTGAAGGGCATGATGACTGATGGGGTAGGTTGACCAAGGAAAGCGCCAAGGATGATGACCAAAAGAGATGATTAGTGACATGTAATAGGTTAGTCGCTTATTTGACCCTTGATTATGGTAGAGGGGCAACTTAGATGCTCCGCTTTTATACCTTTTCTGAGTGGGCTGGCCGCTTGGCCGTGCCAGTGTCCCCATGCTCTTCTCTATGTCAAGAAAACATATGCGTTCTTTCGTCTTTGTCAATAACTTTGTAATGTAATACTTATGTTGTTTT